CTCAACCTTGCTTCAACCACCCTCTCCCATACTTTCATAGTATGACTCAGTAATTTGATACCCTATAATTGTTACAACTCTGGATATCATCTTTGTTCTTATACAGTGGGACCACCGTACTCCACCTCCACTCATCTGGCATCCTCTTCGCCTTAAAAATAATATTCAACAACCTAGTCAACCACTCCAAACCTGTTTTCCCCACATACTTCCAAAATTCTACCAGAATCTCGTCAGGCCCGGTCGCTTTGCCCCTACTCATCTTACTCATAGCTCCCACGACCTCCTCAACCTTGATGCGCATGCAATATCCAGAGTCACTGTGACACTCGAAATGCTCCAATTCACCGAACACAATATCCCGATCCCCTACTTTATTAAGAAATTTTTGAAAGTAAGTATGCCATCTCCTCTTAATCTGGGAATCTTCCATCAATACTCTATCATCGTTGTCCTTGATGTATCTCACTCGGTCGAAATCTCGAGCTTTCTTCTCTCTCAGCTTGACCAGCCTAAATAACTTATTCTCCCCTCATTTTTACCCTAGTTCCTTGTACATACGACAATAAGCCGCAGTCTTAGCCTCCGTGACCGCCAGCTTCGCTTCCTTCCTAGCTACCTTATACCTCCCCATGCACGTTCGCCTCTCCCCTCACCTATGCTCCCCACTAACGTCCGGTACGCCTTCTTTTTCGCTTCCACTTTACCTTGTACCACTTCATTCCACCACCAGTCTCCTTTGTGCCAGCCGGAGACGCCCGTCGAGACCCCTAACACCTCTCTCGCAGCCTCTCTTATACAGTTTGTTGTCGGTTACCACATAGAGTTCACGTCACTACTGCTCCTCCAAGCTCCCATAATCGACAACCTCCCTTCCAACTCTTGAGTTTTGTCCTCAGTTAAGGCTCCCCACCTGATTCTCGGTCTTCCTCGAGCAGACATTTTCCTCCTCTTTACCATAATACCAATGTCCATCACCAAGAGCCTATGTCGCGTCACGAGTATCTCACCTGGAATTACCTTGCAATCCTTGCACAACCCTCTGTCGCGCTTCCTGAGGAGGAGATAGTCAATCAGAGTCTTCGCCACCGCATTTTGAAAAGTAACCAAATGCTCCTCCCTCTTCGGAAAGCAAGAGTTAGCAACCACCAACCCAAAAGCCTTAGTGAAGTCCAGTAATGAGGTTCCTCCTCCGTTCCTCTCCCCAAAACCGAAGCCTTCATGCACTTCGTCATACACACCTGCAGTCGACCCAATATGGCCATTGAAATCCCTTCATATGAATAACTTCTCAGTAGGTGGTACCTGACGTATAATCTCATCCAACCCCTCCCAAAAGCGTTGTTTACCTCCTCATCTAGGCCCATATGTGGCACATAGGCACTAACGACGTTTACGGTGCACTGACCAACCATCAACTTAATAATCATCAATCTATCATTCACTCGTCTAACCTTAACAACAGACTCTCTAAGTTCCCTATCCACCATTATACCCACTCCATTCTTACCCTTCTGGGTTTCAGAGTTCCAAAGTTTATACCCATCTGCATCCCTCGCACTCGACCCCGCCTACCTTGACTCCTGGACACACGCTATATTGACCCTCCTCTTTTTGAGGATCTTCTCCAGCTCTATAGATTTACCTGTCAATGAACCTACGTTCCATGACCCAATTCTCAACCGATGGACACCCTTGTTTCCTTTACCTCCCTTGCATCCCAACCCACCTCCTAGCCCCCGCCCTACCTCCTGACCCACCCTCCGCACGCCCCGAGGACATGAACTCACTCGACCATCCCAGACTACAGCCACTATAATTCCAGCGGACTAGGGGGAATCACTAACAGATACCACAGAACAAACTAGAATAAGACAAGATGCCACTACAGGCGCCCTAATATGGTGACTAAACTAATAAGAACTAAAAGGACATCAATTTTACTAACACAATAGAGAGAAATAGGCAAACGGGAGGTACCAATTCCCGTGAGTATAACCTGGGAATTGTCTTAGTATACTCGACTGTATTGCGTCCACCTAGCTCGTTTGCGTCCAACTCCTGCTGTTCCTTGCTGATACTCGGGTTGTTCTTCACTGTTTGCACGTTCACGTCTCGCTCGCCGCCCAAAGCCACCGGTCCAAACCGATACTGTCAGACAAGTCCTGTTGCGTCGTGTTGGAAAGCTGTTCGGGAGTCGCCGGGATTTATGAAACCTGCCGGAAATCTGTACCAACCTGAAAATAGCTTGACCTCGCCGGAAAAGAATCCGCACCTCTGGCTTGAAGACGGGTCTGGTTTGTGTGTCACCACGGCACCGCAACCAGGCCTGAAACCGATTGTGGTTGTTCCCACTCGCCGGCGACTGATCCGTGTCTCGCTGGAGTAAGAGGGGGAGAAGACAAGACGGGAAATGAGGAGAGGCGGTGTGAGAGAGATGGGCGGAGAGAGAGAGAGGGTGTTGGATGATGGGGAGGAGAGAGGGGCGAGGGGACTTACCTGGGCGGAGGGTGGTCGCCGGCAACTGAACTAGTCGCTGTTTCAAATCGTCTTATATTACCGTTGGCAGTGAGCGTTTCCAAAAAATGGAGCTCATGAGAACTCTTTCTTATAGTAGTCAATGGCTGAAACCGATAAACCTGACTCTGCAAACAATTTAAGTCAAAAGCTCTGGTGGATTAGTCTGCAAAGTTCTATAAGGTCCTCATCATTGCTTAGAATAACAATGGAAACAAAAAATTAACTTTGAAATCAGTAGCTAGACAACATAGGAATTTGGGCGAAGATGAAGAATGTACAGTCATGATAAAAACACAGAAAAGCAGGATGAAGGATATCACACAATAAGTATTGATGATCTTTTAACAACTCAATTCATTAAAAGAATGTACGTCTAAATATAAGAGAATTAAGCAGTTCTCAGGTCATCAGTTGCTCAGTTATGTTGTGGAGACGTTGGAAATTCCATCACTGTAACGCAATTTCAAATTGGTTTCTTTCTTATTATGTAAAAATATTTACTTCAAGTGAAAAGCATAGCCTAACAATTTGCCTGACAAGATCACCTGTTCCTTGAAAGCTAAAACCTTTCTCTGACTTTCTTGCATTATTTCATGATGCCTTCTTTCATAGTTCAATGAAATGGGGATTGAATTAGTTATTCCTTGCACATAAAGGGCAGCTCAGTGTACTAAGCTACCGTTATGCGCGAGGTCTGGGGAAGGGCCGGACCATAAGGATCTATTGTATGCCGTCTTACCCTGCATTCCTTGCACATAAGCTCAATTTATTTTCATCATACGCGTAAACAGGAAAGAAATGAAACATAATCTTATTGTGGGACTAGCTAGCTAGGCGGTTGTCATCTTCATATCGATATATGGTTTAGAGTTCAACCAGCTCGGCTCAAAAGTTACAGTTGAAGGAAAAAGGTCACATCGTCGAAAAGATACATAATGTAGATCCTTTTTATCTAAATCGGGGAATCAAAATATCTACTTTTGCAGTAGAGGACAGAATGTCAAAATTTCAGGGTCTTTCTCGAATTCAGCCATGTCATTCTCCTTCAAACTAACCCATGCTTCTATTCCATCTCCATTTTTTGTGTCCATCAGACAAAATATTTCAAATGTTTTGCTAACGTTGCTTACCCAAAATGGCTTTCCCCAACCAAAATCTGCTTCATACCAGGGGAGTCTGCACCAACTACTGCTGAGATAAATGTCCATCTCGTCTTTCTGACCAAGTTTGTTTACAAATTCTGCGTCACAATTAACAAACATAGGGGCAATACCATTGATGCTTGCCTTGCCAATATCTACAGATATGTCCCTTGATGTATTTCCTATCATATTAACAAAGTCGTTTAACTCTTTTGACTGGTTTGCCTTAAGAGTAGCATGTACGAGCACGATGAAATTCCCTAGAGCATATTCTAATGATGGTAAATTTAATTTCCCCCTCAAATTAATAGGAAATAATAAAGAAGAATCCCTTGAATGTCCATGTTTGGCAGATGATATGCCCACTAGAACCTTCCATATTAACGACATAACGACCGCCACTCGAGTAGGTCTCGTGAAAGTGTGATCACTTGCACCGATTCTATCTTTGAGTTTCGCAATTGCCAAAGCATCAAACACAAATCTCCTAGTGACAATCTCAGGGTCTCCACTAGAAGGTAGTGAATACTGATGCCCTGATAATACTTTTGTGGGAAAGAGCGATGGCAAGAAATCGAAACTTGAGAGACAACCTTTTGTTGTCCCTGTTTGGCTAATTTGAGCCCATTCCTTGACAAATGTTGCTAACGTGAAAGCATCTGCTAGGATGTGTAAAATTTGTACCCCCATGACTAGGCCTCCACAGTTGAATATGTTAACTTGAACTCCAAGTAATGGAACTGATAACATATCTGTTTTTGGAAGAAGATCATCCAAAAGCTCAATCTTGGGTCCTTCGTGGAGAAACTCAGCAAGATTCGTGTTGACTTTGGTTTCGACATAGTCAACACCTTCGTCGTTGCAGCGAATTGAGAGGTCATCTTTTCTGAATCTCCCGGCTAGAGGGTAAAACTTGGTTAAGGTCTCAGCCAATGATTTTTGCAGCTTATCAGTAATTTCTTCACTGTTCCATTCACTGCATGGCAAGTAGTGTAACAATATTGTTACATATACAGGAGGAGCCACTTGATCAAATAATGAAATATTATGGCTCCTAAGATGATTAGGGGTAGGAGTCGAAGGCTTTAACATTTTCCTTATCTGGATTTGAATCTCTAATTTGGCCATTAGGATTGGCTTGACGACCAAAAATTCCCAACAACAAAAATATCTGGAAATGAGATGGAGCAAAGTTTCTAAAGTTGAGTTCCTTTTTGATCTTTTGTTTCTGAATTTCAAGACATTCTTAAATACAATATTCCTTAGTCAACGGGTTCTCTAACAGATGCATCACCCTACGTGTTAACGCGTTTGCCATTTGGTCGACTTGGTAGTAGTTGGCATTTGTTTATTGCCCTCGTTTCTAATCATCCATAAACATGTCGCAAGTCGGATGAAGAATTTAGATTATTTGGTCAATTACCTGATTGCACTAGTGTCATAGACATTTCTGTAGCATCCTGCCATTCCTTTTTGTTAAAACCGGAATCTAATTCATTTTAAGGTAGAGCTCCTGGAGTCCTACTTAAAGTTAAAGGAAGTTCTTTAGTTAAAGCAAGGAGCACAGAAACTGAGGGAAAAAACCTATGTTCGTCTTCATTTTTGAAAATATACAATACGATGTTGATATAGGATGAAGGAGCAAGTTGATCATAACGTGTATATATATATATCTTGACGTTTCGAAGGTGCTTTGACGTCGGAATTGATGGTTTTGTGAATTTTCTTGAAAAAATATGGATTTTTGGTCCCAGCATGGTGTATCAAACCTTGAGTAATCAAAGGATAATGAACTGGACGTATGATTTTCATTTTATTAGAGATGATGACTTCAGCAGAAGATTAAATATGTTCACCACTTTCAATAATTAGTGTTGTCATTTATACCTTTCTGCTAGTTCAAGTGTCATCATCACCTGTGGATTGTATACCACGAGAACTGCTTTTTATATATAAGTACTCAATAGCTGTAACCCAGAAATGGATCACAAAGTACCACCTTGGTTTTTATTCTAATCAGACTTTGGGTATAGTTTCCCAACTAGATAAACTTGAAAATTATTTCTATAATTTTTTAGTCAGTCAAGTTTTTTTAAATCAATCTAATAATTAAACTGATTAAGCATGGGGAATTATTTTTGTTCCTGTTGTAGTTGTTTACCCGTAAAACGAAACAATTAAATTTATACGTGGTTTACGGACAAGCGAATCGATTTGATCCCAAAATGATAAATAAATTAAATAAGAATGCAAGACTTAACATTGAAATAACACGACAGAGAGCTTGGTTCCGGGAGCAAAGCTTCCGAAGGCAATAACAACGATATTAACAAGCAAGAAAATAAAATGTTATTGAGCTTTCAACACTATATAGCATAAGTTTGTCACATAATTCATCCTCTTACAATAACTATTGAACTTACTATTTATAGTTGCACCTAGGGAAAGAACAAGGTCCTAGAATCAAACTCCTCTTAAATGACAATTATGAGGGCCATTGAAGAATGTGTAACGACGGATTAGGAATGTCATATTCTTTGTAACGGATTACATATTTAATGCTATAGAATATTCTTCATTGAATGTTCCCGGGTGGCAGGCCTTTATTTGTTTTATGAGCAACATTCCCTACGGGGACAACCGAGATTGCTGCCCCCGGACTTGATTTCCATTTGCCTTGCTTTCCATCTGTCTCTGGTTGCATGCGTCGCTCTATTGTGCCAGTATTTAATATGAACATATTTTTTCCCTAATAGTCCCCCTGCTTTCTGGTGGCACATCCTTGTATCACCGGAAAGTTGGTGAAGATACCTTTCTTGGCGGAAAAATCTCTGAACCCCTCCAAAAAGGTTTCTGACAGTGGATTAGACGCACGTATCTTCGTATTTAATGCAACGAACGCGCGTCATCCCATGATTTAGCAACACTTTTGCCGGTTTTCGAAGTAATCACGGCCACAATTTTAGCTGCATATTCCTTTACTTACACGCATCAATCTTCTTCTTTTACCAAGATTTGAACATCATCACTCCTGACCTAGCAGAGTGGGTAACCTTCTCCAAGAAGGATTTTACGTATGTTTACACGTACCCCTTTATTTTGGGCCCGTTCTTATTGAGCAGAGGGCTTAACTCCGTTATCTTGGAGTTTTGCTTCTGTTACCAGGTCTGTTTGGCACAAGTGAGCCCTTATGTATGGCGGACGGTCACCTGTCTTTGGCGTCTATGCCATGATACGGGGAAAGAGCTCTCCCTAGCCCGACTGATGAACCTTTATTCCCCCAAGATTTTCCGTGGGAGAATGATAAATTTCAGCAAACATGGCCACCATGATCTACTCTCCAGCATGAATGATGACAACGACCGCAGATGGATGGAGCAGTTCACTGTAATTGTCACGAGAAACATCATCCTGGCCACAACTTCATTCTTTCCTGAATCATGGAATTGTGCACGTAAGTGCAATGTCTATCGTTTCTTTTAATTGAAGGTTGTTCCATATTATCATTGATGCTTTTTTTTTTCATTATTTCAACAATTTGGTAGACATTACCAAAGGTCAAAGGCTTAGACTAGTAGGTCCAAAAGATTTTGAATGTCAATATATATGCATTTGTTGGTCTCAACATGGTGCCTTAAATTGAGTTATGAGTAATCAAAGAGATATATTGGACCGGAAAGAAAGATGGGATTTGTTTTTCTTGGAATTGGCTCTTTTGGTTATGGTCATAGGGGACTCCAAGTAATAATGCGAAGAATTAACCCAAATACTCAGCTAACTGCCTTAATTAAAAATAGCTCGTGAAAGTATAAAATATGCATAATTTATGTTTTATATGTGTATAATTATGTATAATGAATATATAATTTATGTATATGACTAGAAAAAGTAAATATGAATATGACCGGATATTTATGTTCCGTATATAGAAGATACTATCATTTATCATTGAAACTTTTACATGGCATAACTAACTTATACACTATATGTTTGACCAAAAAAAACTTCTACACGATATTTATCATAAATAAATACACTTTAAAATTATTGTAATACATAGCTATACTTTGGATTTTATAGGAAATACCTTCTAGGGAATTTGTAACCCTAGCCGCTACCTTTTCCCTTCCTCACCCCTCTGTCCAGCCGCGCCTATACTAATTTCAACTCAATTCATGTGCCATGAGTGTCCTAACAAGCAAAACCTAGGCAAATTTTCAGCCTTGTGATCTCGCCTTCCGTCTCTTCAATTGGGCACAGGGACTATTCATCCTATTTTTAGTCTCCCGTGCAAGTTTCGCAGCAAATAAATTTCCATGAGGCACCTAAAGCAGCAAACTAGCGCTGAAAGAGCATCCTGATGCTTTATCATGCTTCTTCTATTTCACCCGGAAACTTATCATAATTTAAAAAGGGAAATGTGAGAAGTTAGAAGCATCACTATGTTGCTATTCTCTTTACTAATTAAAAAAACCAAAGGCTGAAGTTACAAGAAGAAAACTTGGTAACAAAGATACCGTTGACCCATGTATGGTAGATTTGAGTGATCTTCTTCATTGATACAACTTTTTCTATCAACAATATTTATTTATACAACCATTATGCTCGAAAGAATACAGTTGATACAGCTCGTATACATTGTATATTTCATTGTTAGTATATTGTATACACCCTTATATTTTTGTATTTAGCATTGGTTGTAGTTATGGCGCAAATGAATATAGTTGATACATGTTGTATTTATTGGTTTTTTAAGCATTAAAATAGGCATAAAAGAGGGTGAATGGGAAATGGAGGGAAAATAAAATATTTGAGTTTCATTTGAGATTCCCTCCTTGACAAAGGGACATTGTCCTATATTGGAAGAGGAAGAGGTTTTTGATGGGTATATAAGCAATTTCTTTTCTTTTAGCGCTTAAAGAGTTGAGAAGAAGGCAAGCCTCACGCCGTCGTCACTCGGCTTCGGCTTCGCCTTCGGATTTGGTCAATTGATTGATTGATTTTTTGGACCAAATTTATTTGCTAATAGTAATATTAACAAAAATGTTATTAAAATATCTATTTTAATAACAGAATATTAAAAGTTTTTTCGTTATCCTTTATCCGTTTTCCATTTTTCGATTGTGTAACTAAAAATTAACCTCCCTCTTGAATTCCCGGTTTATTGTTGCGTAAATAGCCATTTATGTTATGGCATTTATGCTATGGCCGTTTTGCATAAACAACCATTCTGAAGAATTGCACCTCTTCAGTTTTCAGCCCAACATTAGCTATAAATACAAGTCCATTCTCTTAGATTTTCCATACGATTTTCTGAGTTCTCCTCCTTTCTTCTGCATACTTTTAACTTCAAAGAAAACAATAGTAAGTGTGATTTGCTACCGAACTTTGTGTTCGCTGAAATACTGGGGTTTGAAGTACCACTACACCAGTGTATAATTCATTATATCTTGGGAGGAAATAATCCATAACATTGGGTACCAGGAGGGGATTAAATTCCTTAAGGAAACACTGTGAATTCAGTGGGCTCGGATTAACTTTTGTTTTGTTTATATTTTCTGTTTATATGTTATTTTATCTTTTCCAGAATTAGTTTACAAATACAGTTTACTAACAAGCTTAAGAAATTTAATTATTTTCTATATTTGTGTTATATTCACTATTCTGGAGATTAAAACCTTTGTAATTTTCTACTATGTTGGAGATTTAAATCTACGTAATTTTAACGTTTGTTTGTGTCATTCTTTACAGAAATGACTAATGACGACGGGAACCAGGCTGTTCCAATGGTGACTGCCAATGCATCGACAAGATAAACACCGGCAAAAAATCCCGAACAATTTTTCGGGATTAATTTCAAGCGGTGGCAGCAGAAGATGTTCTTCTACTTGACTACTTTAAGTCTACAGAAGTTCATTAAGGAAGATGTTCTTGTTATGCCTAATGAAACTCCAGAGAATAAACACTTTCTTGTTATTGAAACGTGGAAGCATTCTGATTTTCTATGCAAGAATTATATTCTTAGCGGACTGGAGGACGATCTGTATAACGTCTACAATGGTGTGGAGATGTCAAAAGAATTGTGGACTACACTTGAAAAGAAATACAAATCTGAAGATGTCGGGTTGAAGAAATTTGTTGCCGCTAAGTTTTTGGACTACAAAATGGTAGATAGCAAGTCTGTTATTACCCAAGTCCAGGAATTGCAAGTGTTTATTCATGATCTCCTTGCTGAAGGTATAAGTCAAATTAATACTAATATTGAAAGTAG